AATAACACCACCTGACCCTAGTTACTTGATACATCTTGTTAGAAGAGATTACCAAACAATACAGACACCATAAATTACAAAGAAAATTATATATATGTATATATATATGAATATATGTAATAGTTTACAGTACAGGTGGTTTGAATAACACCACCTGACCCTAGTTACTTGATACATCTTGTTAGAAGAGATTACCAAACAATACAGACACCATAAATTACAAAGAAAATTACTTTACAACACTTAAAAAATTAGTCCTGGTCACATTCCTCTCATTATAGGCAAGATTTATATTGGAAAATCGAAACTTAAGCTTTTCAGTGTATTGACATCCCAACTGTGAGAATGTCACAGCTATCCCTGTATTATTGAGACGAATGTGTTTAGTCTGTTTCACAACCAACATATGGGCTTTATTGTTGTCACTTGTACACTGAGTTTTAACACATATATAAAAGACTCTTACAAGAATCAAAACTTCATTTACTAAGAGAACCCACACACAGCAATTTGTAAGTCTTCGCTAAAATCATCACTGAAATTGTGAAATTGGAGAACTTCAAATTTCATCTAAGGTAAGATGGCCTTTTTTTTATACATAATAGTTATATATATTCAAAGATGTCATGTTGCTAAGGATGAATAATTAAACAAGATACCTTTATTGAAATTAGTTTCACTCTATTTTGTTTTAGTTTATACATGTATATCACCATCATACATGGAGTGATATCTTTCAGTAATATAATGTCACAAGTACTTACAATTTTTTGTATAAACTGTTTGTATGTATTAGTTCAACCTCCTCCTTACACAGAATAATAATTTCTTGCATTTATTTTTAGTTTTCTGGATATCAAGAATACAGAGATAGATTGAAGTATCTCCCAACACATACTTGGATACCACATAAAGTAAGATGTATGCTTTTTTCATATAACATGTAATTAGTAAATTTCCATGGTGTATATCTTACTTTTGATGATGAATATGTAAATCAGATTCATTAGTTGTACATCATATGAATTAGTTTTTACTATATTTATGATTTTGCTTATGTCCATACACATACAAACAAAATGTATGTTTGTTAAATGTTTTCTTAAAGTCAAAGCTCAATAATTCAAATATATATGTAGCATGTTTTCATTATGCCAATTGAATATTAACAGCATATTAATTTTCTTAGATGGAAGATATTCAGCACTTACAAAAAAAGAAAAATCTTTCCTTAGAGGAAGTGCTGAAATTGTTTTTTGCTTCCTCCTCTGAAGAAGAGTCACTTTCTGAGTTTGAAGAAGAAACCACAACAAATAAAGATGGAGAGGAGCACTTTTGTTCAAGGAGCCTGACTTACCTTCAAGGGAAGAAGACTCTTCATGACCACCAACAATCTGATATTAGTGATCTTCCCATGACCAGCACTACATCAACTTCCAAAATGGCCAAGAAAAGCCTGGCCTGTAGTGCAGAATGGAAATGGGAAGTTCTCAAAGATGAGCAGCCCAGATTGTTGGGGGACTTCATCCGAGGAGAGCCTGTTTCCCGTCAAGCAAGTAGGTGTCGGACCCCTCTTACTTTTTTCAACTTTTTTTTTCTCTCAGCATTGTTACCAAAATTGCTGAAGAAACAAATAGATTTGCACACTAGCAAGGGGAACACCTAAACAACGATGTCAGGAAGAAAAGGAAACTGCTGAAATATAGTGATGTTACTCTTCAAGAAATTTTAGCTTTTATTGGTTTAACTATTTCTATAGGCATAACTCGCTTACCATCTATTACAGATTACTGGTCTACCACTCCTTCACTTCATCTTCCCTGGTTTTCTTCAATATTTTCCAGAGAAAAATTCCTAATTATTCCTCACTTCTTTCATTTCAATGACAACACTAATAATTTACCTAAAACTGATTCTAAGCATGATAAACTCTTCAAAGTAAGACCTGTGCTTGATCATCTACTAACAGCTTTTACAGCTCACTATTACCCTTCTAGGGAACTTTCCATGAGCAAATGTTGGGAACAAAGGGCAGAATTTATTTTAAGCAATATCTACCTAGCAAGCCTACCAAGTGGGGAATCTAGCTTTGGGTTCTGGCAGAAGCCGTGACTGGATACTGTTTAAATTTTAGAATATACTCTAGTAAAAAGGGATCTGTACCTTCCAAGGGCTTAGCTACCACAGTTGTAATGACTGGTGGAAAAGTACTTCGGAAGGGGACACTCTTTTTACTGATAACTTTTATACTTCTCCAACTCTGTTTGATAAGTTGCTTTCACTTGGTACCTATGCTTGTGGTACTTGTAGGAAGGACAGGGCCCACTTCCCAGACATGTTTCCAGGTAAGTTAAAAAGGGGAGAGTCACAGTTTTTCAACTGTGTCTCAATGACTGCTGTGAAGTGGACTGATAAAAGAGATGTTCATGCTCTTTCTACAAATGCATAATGTTACAGTAAAGGAAGTGACAAGAAGACAGGGTGACATGATTAACAAGCCACAGCTAATCTTGGATTACAGCAAGTTTATGGGAGGAGTTGATCTTAATGATCAATTTCTTAGCTATTATTTCATTCCACGTAAAACTGTCAAATGGTATAAGAAACTTTTCTTTAGACTTGTTGACCTGTCTATTGCTAATTCTTTTATTCTTTTTAAACAGGTAACTAAAAATAGCAAGTACAAACAAAAGGACTTCCGTTTACAATTATTGGATTCTCTTGTGAAACCTCTAATTGAAAGTAGAGGAGGGCCTTCTTGTTTGTCAAGTATCCATTCACCAGTTCTGGCAGATGCACAGGAACAGCTATCACCTGGGAAGCATTTTCCAGCATTTGCTGAAGAAAAGAAAAAAAGGTGCAGATTGTGCCTCCACACAGGTTTAATTAAGTTGACTTGTCAACAGTGCAAGGTTCATCTCTGTGTAAGGCACTTTGAAGCGTACCATACGTTGAAGACTCTTCAAAGAAGTTAACTTTTCTTTCCACCAAATCTAGTCAATATGTTATGATTAGAAAGAAAAGTAAAACCCAATCTGATTCCTTTTATTTCCTTCTTCTTTCACTTTCCTAAAATCTAAAATTTCTTTAGTAGAGGTTTAGTGTTTATAACACTTTTTTTTTGCTTGGTTGTTTTATACCATCACTCAGCATTTTCATTTAGGTATTTCCACTTGTTTTAAATGCAGTTCTATTTGTGAATTGGTGTTCTAAAACTCATTGCACATATTAGCCATAAAAAAATGAAAATATTTCAACAAAGGCTTTTGCAGTAGCACACAAATTAGATTTTTGTTTATATTCAATTGTATTTATTATACATTACTGTGCTCAGTTTTATTACTTTTATCATATTTTGTTTTTTAGTTTCTTCTCAAGAATTATGTATAAAATTTTCAATATTTCACTGAATAATGTACAACTTGGATGTACATCTTCAGACAATTGTTTGGTAATAGTGTTTAGCTTATTTTTGCATTTGTATAAACATGTATAAAGTCTTCAGTGTACATATTCATGAATAGTGAACAAATGTACAGTTTGTATGTTCTTGATATATAAACTGATGTGATTATAATATCTCAGTGTAGCTTTTACTACATTTTTATTTTTGCATCTAAATATGATTTGCATACAACTGTGCGTATACTTCTCAGTTCATAATTTACAAATTTGATATTGTTTATCCATACATTGATGCTCCTTTTGTATGTATGTTATCTTGATTTGTAACTACTGTATAAACTTTTATGTAATTTAACTTTATTTTTTTAAACCCTTTGCAAAATATTATAATAAACTATTTATATATATATCCATTAGTATATTTTAATTATAAAACAACAACAACAGAAGTGCGGGTCTTACTAAGTAATGATAGTAAGAAGGAAAAATATAAAATTCTCACGATAAGCCTAAAACTATCAAAGTGGTACTAGTAGTACGTACAAATCACACAAAGTTATCATTCTAAATACTAAATCATATTTTTATTATGAACTAAATATAAAATTCTGCTAAATTATTGAACTTAAAACTGTGAATTTAAATGCAAAAGAATATAAAAATCACAAACTCCCTCAGTTCAAAGCACTAAGCCTAATCCACATAAAGACCATGCACTTGCCACTCGATAGATCTTAACCCTAACGTTCGTGGATCAACTACTTTCCCCAAAATATATATATTTTGAGTTAGTTTTTCAATGTAATAATTAACATAAATAGATATACAATAGAGCATGATTTAAGCTACTATAGAAAAATAATAAAAGTCACATACATCCCATGCAGTTTTTCCAGAAGTAAATTTTCTAAGGCTTATAAAAAAAATTACTATTGACCACTACTAAGTACAACCTCTATATGAAATGGCAGTTACTATAATAACTACAACACACGTTCATATTATAAAATCCATATAACAAAGTTTCATCACATGCTTTGTTTATCATCCTATGATTTGCTACATGTGAAATACAATGATTGGAATAACAGGGTACTGAAATTGACACCTTTGAATAGGATTGGCTAAAAGTTTTACAACTTAGGTTTAACATGCCCAGATGCTGTTGGAATAACTAAACAGGCTAGAAAAAGGTTTAAATACCAATCATAGATGGCAGAACAAGCACTAAAGTATGAGGAAAAATGTTACTTTTTTTTTCATTAGAGGGCACTTATTTATAGTCTCTAACATATTTTGGGATTTTTTAAAATTAAATTTATCTTCAAACTTCTATAAATAATGCAATTTAGATTTGAATGTTATGCTACTATTTACAAAAAATAAAATCTGAAAACCAATTAAAGGTAAGTTCTCTATACTTTTTTTATATCACAAATGTGATTTTGCTCTCACGATAAGACAAAATGGCAATGATAGGTAACAGGTTAACAGATTTGTTGAATTGAGGGTTATTATTCATTCAGTCATTAACTTTGCACTTTTTTCTGATAAAATTAAACTTCATTAATTTAAGTGCTATTGTGCTTGTTTCACCTCTCCTCTATACACAGTGTGGTCACAAGTAAATAGACACCACTTTTTCAGAAAAAAATAATTTTTTCAGTCATATTCACATGAATTGATATATTTATAATTTAATTAATATCTAGTAGATCTTCCTTTCGCTTCGTGGAGTTCGTTGATCTTTTGGGGCATCGTGAGAATCATCTCGTCAATTTTAGATTGTGGGATTTTTGCCCACTTTTGCTTCAAAACTTGGAGTAGATCGCTCTTCGAAGTTGGTTTTTTTGGTTATTTCTTGACTTGCCGGTCGAGTATGGCCCAAAGATTTTCGATGGGGTTCATGTCAGGAGATTGGCTCGGCCAGAGTAACTTCTGGATACCATTTTCTTCCTGCCACTTTTGGGTGT